CACACACACACACACACACACACACACACACACACACACACACACACACACACACACTGAGGTAGTTGACCCTCGTTCACCCAGTTACTCACAGGAGAAGTCAAAACAAAAAGTGTTTGGATTCACATATATGAAATGTTACATAAAACACAAATATTTGATGGCATAATATATATTTTTCATTAGCTAGTTCCCCTAACATGAAGAATCCACCACACCAAAAGATATTAATGGTACAGTTTAAGTTTTATTCAAAACAAGAAAAAATACAAAGTTTAGTAAAATAAATGACTGATGCCTTCCGTTATGATTTATAAATAGAAAACCAGTTCTCATATGACAAAATGATAACACCTGCTTGAATTTTCAGCAAAACTTTTTTTTGCTGTTTTGGTAAAATGTTTTTATTAAAAACTAGTAAAATCAAAAAGCAAAAACAAGCAAGCAAACAATTAAACAAAACAACAGTGATAAATTAGACACAATAATTGAATAAAAATCATAAATAACCCAGTAAATGCTTTGTTCTGACTGATGACTAAGATATATTTAAGTTTTTTTTCTTTGTTTTTTCTGAATAAATATTTAGACAACACATCTGAAAACATGGCATTTTCCCCCCAAAACAAATATAAAAAAAAATTGTTGGCCCAAGATGAGGTTTTTAATCTTGAGTCCCTTGTGAAAACAAGTTAGATTCATTTCTAAAGTCTGAAAAGATAGAGAGAAATCAGAATTGTGAGAAATAGAAATATTTAAAATTTTGTCAAAATACCTAAGATTTTCTCTTGTGCTGCCACATTTCACTCACAAATCATTATTTCTTCTTGTTCATCCTACTTTTACATCAGCACCCAGGCCCCCACATACTCGGGCGCACTTCGGTCCGCGGAGGTCCGCTTCGCGGACTGGTCCACGCAGAGATCAGTTTTTTACGCTCGAGTATGAAGTCTCAACCGTCCGTGGACAATACGCGTGGCTCACGGAATGCGCACAGTACGCCCGAGTATGTGGGAAACGGTCTTGGCCTGTGAAGGAGAATAAAATATTGTGATGATGCTTCACTAAATTACTGTATATTTTTTATTCCACTTATTTAATCCAAGTTAATTCCATGTAAATGTTATAAAGAAGATGTGAATTGTCTTCCATCTCCTGGCGGTGACACGGCTAATAAAAGGATACATAAGGCAGATTCTATAGAAACATGTGGTAAACAGCCTAGTGATTGTTCACACACACACACACACACACACACACACACACACACACACACACAC